GTCAGTAGTTCAAACTCACTAGCTGCTGTGCGGGAGGAAGATGAGGCAATCTACATCCATTAAGATTTACAGCCTTGAAAACCCTATGCGGGTCAGAATTGACTCGAGTGCAATGGGTTTTGGAATGGCTCTAGCTAGATCAAGTAAAATGTTAAATAAAAGTGGTGAGAGCAGACACCCTTGCCTTGCTCCTGATCTTAGGGGAAAAACATTCAGTCTTTCATCATTGAGTATGATGTCAGAGGTGAGTTTTCATAAATGACCTTTATTGAGTTGAGAAAGTTCCCTTCTAGTCTGAGTTTGAGAGATTATCATGAAAAAGTACAGGATATTCTCAAATGCTTTTGCTGCATCTATTGAGATCATGTTTTTCTTTTTTTGGTCTTTTATTCTGTAATATGTTTATGTCTTTCACCAAATTTGGGCAATGTTCAGCCATTATTTTTTCAAAATTTTTTTCTGCGGCATACTTTTTACTCTCCTTCTGTGACTCCAATGACACAAATGTTACACCTTTTGGTATTGTCCTCTAGGTCCTTGAGAGTTTATTCCCAATATCTTTTGTATTGATCAAACTGAATAATCTCTATCGAAGTATCAAGTTCATTGACTCTTCCCTTATCTCCATTGAAATTTTACTTATTACTGTATATTTCAGTTCTAAAATTCTATTTGGTTCTCTTTAAATCTTTTATTGTTTTGCTAGGAATTACTATCTTTTACTTCAAAAGAGCTTACCCTTAACAACTCCATTTAAGCCTTTTGTCAGATAACAGCATCTGTGTCATCTTGGAGATGGCATCTGTTGATCGTATTTTCTCATGAAAGTTGACATTTTTCCAGGTTATTTGTACGTGAAATAATTTTGGATTGTATCCTGGACATTTTCAATATTATACAGTCAGACTCTGGGTCTAGTTTACATCTTACCCAGTTGGCTGCAGGCTGCAACTATGGGTGTGGTTCTAATGTCAGTTCAGTTTTCAAAGCATTTGTACTATTCCAATCTGTCCTGTGTATGCATAACCTAGTGGTCACTCTAGGATAAGGAACACGGTCTGGCCCATAGTTAATTCTTAAGTCTGTATATACCAAAGAAGACCAGTTTTATTTCTTATTTGCTTAGAATTTATAATGAGTATGTGCTGAATTTTATCAAATTACTTTTTCTGCATTTACTGAATTGATTGTACAGGTTTTAATCCTTCAATCTATAAGTGGCTTAAATTAGTAAATTTTCCAATATTTAACCATCTTTGCATACACAGAATAAACTATATTTGTTTATTGATAAATATAAATTTGTTTATCAATCAAACAAATATTTGATTTATAAATATTTATTTATTTATAAATCAAATATAAATGTTTGATAATATTTATACACTGCTGGTTTTGGTTTGTTATTATTTTATTAGGACTTCTGTGTTTATGCTGATAAGTAAGACAACCAAACCAAACTTACTGCCATCAAGTTGATTCCAACTGACAGCAACCCCTACTGGATTTCCAAGGCTGTAAACCTTTACGGAAGCAGACCTTTCTTCCATGGAATAGCTGGTGGGTTCAAACCACTGACTTTTTTTTGTTAATAAATAAATTCTTAACCACCAGAGCTCCTTGATAAACAAGACAGGCATTATAAAAACATTCTCCTACAGTCTTGATTTGATTTTAGTATCAAAGTTATTCCAGCACTAGAATTAAGGGAGTGTCTCCCTTCCCCCCTTTCTTTTTAAAATTTTCTGTAAAAATTGATATAAGATTGAGATTATTTTTGATAGAACATATCTAAAAAACATCTGAATCTAGTTATATTGGGGGAGAAACTGGGCAAAGATAATTTTTTATTTATTTTCTTGCTTATATGACTGTGGTGGTTATGTTTGTGTGTCAACTTGGCTGGGCCTGGTTGAGTGGCTGGGCAGCTGCTGGTATTTATTCCCCATGATGAGACTGGCAATCATCTCCATGGTGGGATCTACCACAAGCAGCTGAATAGCTGCTTTGGCTATGTGGTCTGCTTCCTGTATGTATATAAGAAGCGGCTTTGGGAACGGGCTCTAGCTTATGGCACGCTTGGACCCTGCATGTAGCTGTGTCGTTGTTCAGCAGCCTGCCATGCTCTGCCAACCTTGGGACTTACAATGGACTTAAATTAATGGCCTGCAGTGTGGTTTGGTAACATCGGGACTATGCCTTTTTACTTGTCAACCTTGGGTCTCTTAGCCTCGGCAGCCAGCAGCTGTCTGAGTGAAGAAATGCCTCTAGCTCCAGTGGGCTGGAACAAGAGGCAGAGCTGTACCCCAAGGTTGAGAGGCTTTCACCCAGGCCCTAGAGCCTGGCACTTTGAACTTGGACTTAAAGCCTCCAAACTAGGAGAGACTAAACTCCTGTTTGTTAAGGCCATCCCATTTGTGGTATTTCCTGTCAGAGTGGCACTAGGAAACCAGAACAATGACCTTTTAGATTTTCTTTCTTCTTGAGTATATTTCAGTTATTTGTAGTTTTCTTTAGAAACTTCATTTTGTTTAAGTTTTCAGAAATACCAGCAACATATTTTCAAATGTATTTCACTGTTTTTAAATATTTGTTGCATCTATAAGTTATTTTTCATTCCTAAAATAATTTACTTGTGCCTTGTCTTTTCTCTTCTTCAATACTGCCAGATGATTGTGGTAAATACCATAACACAGTGGTTAAGAACAGAACTATGCAACCAGATTACCTGGGTTTGAATCCTAGCTCAACAAATCACTAGCAGTAACTTTTGGCAAGTTACTTAATTTCTTTGTGCTTTGGTTTCCTCAACTGCAATACAGGGATGATAATAATAGTTCCTATTTCATAGTGTTGCAAGGATTATGTAAATTAGTATTTGCAAAGCACTTCAAAAAGTGCCATATAAGTATCTCCTAAATAAATACTGAATTCGAGTTTTCAAAAAATCAGCTTTGATTTTATTGACATTTCTCTCCTTTTATTATAATTTCTGCCCTTTATTAGTTCCTTCCTTCTACTTTTCTTTTTTTGATTTGTGTTAAACAGTTAATTGATTAATTTCTAACATTTGCTCTTTTCCAAAATATACATAAAGTAGTACTTTGGCTGAACCCTGTAAGTTTTGAACATAACATTTCACTGTCATGAAGGTCTCAATTTTTTTCCCCCCAACTTTTTATTGTAATTTGGGTGAAAGTTTATAGAGCAAATTGATTTTCCATTCAACAGTTCACCCACATTTTATTTCAGACATTGATTGCAATCCCCACGATGTTGACAGTGGGATCCCAATGGTTAATGGGATTGTAATCAATGTCTGAAATAAAAGCATTCTTCCTACTTCCTCCCTGTGGTTACCATTTCCTTTTGTCTTTCTTTCCTACCCACTTCTGCCTTCTGAGTTTTATTCCTAGGCAAATGCTTTCCTTTTAATGTTTTATGGTTGATGGTTCTCAGGAGTTTCCACTTCCCTGGTGTTACTGTTTACCTCATAGGTCTGTCTATTGTTTGGCTGAAGTTGACCCACAGGAGTGATTTCAATTCTGGGCTTGAAAGGTATCTAAGGGCCATAGTTTCAGGGGTTCCACCAGTCTCTGCAGACCAGTAAGCCTGATCTTTATGATTTTGAGTTTTGTTCCACATTTCTCTCTCACTCTACTCAGGATCTCCTATGTGATACCTTTCAGAGTAGTAGGCAGTGGTAGCCAGGTACCATCTTGTTCTTCTGGTCTCAGGGTCATGAAGGCTGAAGTTCACATTAGTCCCTTAGACTAATTGTTTTCATGTGTACCAGATTTTCTTCACTCTTCTTTGCTCTGGATGAGCAGAGGCCGTTCACAAACTTTTAAGATCCCAGCCACTACTCACCAAAGCAGAATGTAGAACAATGTCTTTGTGGACTATGTTATGCCAATTTGACTGTGATGACCCCCACAACTATGGTCCTGAGCCTGCAGGCCCAGAGATCCATTCCCTCAATGTGTTTGGTTGTGGCTAAGAAGTGTGCATAATTTTGCCCCATTAGCTCTGCTACGTACATGGAAATTTTTATAGCACTCACGGTCATGGGTATAGTCCTATTCACCTATCCATAACTGATTGTCTTAGCTATCTACTTATATATTCACTCACAGATAAACATTTATTATTACTGATAATGTAGGATTATGTATGTAATAGTATTTACCTTTCTTGTCTATAACTCTTGTGCACTTCTCTGTGTCTTCCTTTTCCTTAGTGATATTGTGCTAGTCACTCACTATTTTGTATACTGCCTTTCCCTTCATCCAAATTAATACATGTCTCTTACCTAGTTAGTAATTTTCCCTCCTCTCCCCTCCCATCCCTAGTAACCATCAAGAATGCTTCTTTCCATGTGTAAACGCTTGACTTTTTTTTATAAAAAATATAGAACACTTCACAAATTTATGTGTCATCCTTGCACAAGGACCATGTTAATCTTTTCTGTATCATTCCAAGTTTAGTATATGTACTGCTGAAGTGAGCACAATATTTTCTATTTTTTATTATGATTTATTTTTAATTCATAATTTCAGAAATTGTAAAAATTATTGTGAAAAATTGTGAAAGGACTTTTTCCCTTCAAGGTTATCTCTCTGTCATTGATTTTTATGTCTAATATCAACTCTAGAAATAAGACACTTGCTTTATGGCCTAGTATGTCAGAGATTTTGTAAATGGTCCCATGTACTTGAAAAAAACAGGTATTAGATCTCTAATTGTTGAGCATAGTGTTCTATATTTGTCTATTAGATTAAATCTCTAAATATGTTGGTCAAATCTTTTAAATCCTTTTCTTGAAAGACTAGTATATCAATTACTAAGAGAAGTATATTAGAATCTCTCATTGTGAAATTCTCTTTATAATTTTTGTTTTTTGCTTTACATATGTTGACTGCATATGGTTGCTGTACACAACACCATTTAACTTATTTGGCAGCATAGCATATGCAGGTTTTATATGAGAGAACACTTACCTGTAAGATGGGCGCCGTGCTAGGATCCCGTGGGCTTTCTGTGAGGAACCTATGCTGTCAGATGAGTCCTGAGATTCCTCACTTTCTGATAAGGATGATGCCTGAAAAACACAACTGATTTTTACTATGATAAGCAATGCCTGTGGAAAAATATTTAAATAAAATTTTTAGTTTCATAAAAAAAGTATTTGTCTCTTGCCAAATTCATTTGGACATTAAATCTAAGATTATTAATACCAGGACCTAAAACAAGGAACAGAAATAGAGAAAGTTTCTTCCAGGAGCACAGAGTAATTAGAGAAACATGTAACATAGCAGGCCCAGAACTAGTAAGAAAGTTTATCCCTAAAAATAGCAATACTATTCCATTAGAGTTACATATACTAGTATCTAATCGCCACCCTATTTCTACACTGATGTCCATTACTCAAAGGCTTGGGTCATTGACAATTGATTTGGATTCTGGACATGCTAAGTTTGAAATGCCTATAGATAACCAACTGGTGACACTTAAGAGACAGCTAGATATACATAAAAGCCTGAGGTTCAGGGAAGCAGTCTAGACTACATGTACAAATTTTGGAGTTGTAGCTTTTTAGATAGTCCTTAAAGCCATTAGACTAGATAAACTCACTAAGGGAGTAAGTATAGATAGAGAAGACCACCAAGGACAGACTCAGGAACAAACTAACATTAAGAAGTTAAGGAAAAATGGAACAACTAGCATGAGACTGAAAAGAAGACACCAGTGAGGCAGAAGGAAAATCAAACAAGTGAGTGTCCTGGAAAACTAGTAGAGACGGTTTATGGAGAAGAAAGGAGTGATTAACTATTTCAAATGCTACTAACAGGAGAAGTAAAACAAAAATTGAGAACAGACAATAAGCAAGGTGAGCTTACTGGCAAAAGTAGGTATAAACACACATAATTTTAAAACTTGTAGTAATTAGCTTTATCTCACTTCATAATTAAATGAGTTAAAACACCAAGTACTTGGTGCCTAGCACATGGTAAACAATAAATAAATATAATAAATGTTAACTATTACTAATAAACCCTTTAGAACATCAATATACTATCTAGATATAAGTTTCAAGCTATAGCAATATTTTATAATTGAGAAGTTATTTTAAAATTTTTTATATGTATTAAATTTCCCAACATTTGTCCAAAGTTGGTTGTGATACCTGGCTTCATCTTCATTTTTCTCTACATTTAGTCATTATCTACAAAAAAGCCTTCCCCTAAACTATTTACACTTAGACCTTAAATTTCCAGATAAGCTTGTTTTACATTCTATTATCTCCTTCAAAAACAAGTACTAGTGTACAGCTATTCATTTATACCTTACATATTTTTGACAGAAAAGACACAACTGGTCACTACTGAATAATACATACATATATATATATAGCACATAACAACAACAATACTATACTCATTGCCATTGAGTCGGATCCGACTCATGGCAACCCCTCCTTGGGTTTCCGAGACAGTATCACTAAGGAAGTAGATTGCCCAACCTTCCTTTCAAGGAGAAGCTGGTGGGTTTGAACTACCAGGCTTCTGGTTAGCAGTCTAATGCCTAACGCACTACACCATCAGAGCTATTAATGATAATTATAATTTTTTAAAAATTCTGTATTTTCCTCAAGTGTCCTGGATATTCCATTTCTAATTTAAACCTTTGACTATTGTTACTGTTGTCCCAAAACCTACTCCAAGCCCTCCCAATGAATTCAAGAAAATAATTTCTAAAACTAAGGGATAACTTGGAACTAAAGTCAAATATTTCTCTTTCATGGCAGCAGCAGCAAGTAAGAGTAAAATCTTATCTAGAGTGAAAACAACTAGATGCAGCTCTAGAGTTGACAACACTGCCAGACCTGATATATTCAAGAGGAAAAAATGAGGTGTAGAGTTTTTCTTCCAGGATACTTGCTTCTAAAAATCAGAGATGACCAAAGGCATTCTGGGATTCATCAGAGCCAGAAAATAAAATGGGAAGTAAGAGTAGAAAGAAAAGAAACCTAGCATGGCTCTTTACTTCCTACTGTTATCAGGTGTTAATATGAAGGTGTAAAAATACAAATGAGAATTTCCATCTATTAAGAGAAAATTCTCTTTTATCTGACCTCCATAAAGCAGAAGGTAGGTATTATTTTACTTCTTTAAGACTCAAACATCATCACCATTGTACTTCAGAGTTCTCCTTTTCATGAAGGATACCAATGGGACAAAAAGTTTATTTCCTTAAAAGTCTTTCACTCTCTTAAAGTCTAAGCAGTAACTTCTCCCAAAAACTGTCTTCTACTTTCACTAAGTAATATATACATGAAAGCAGAAAAAAAATTTAAATTTTTCTATTTGCCTTACTTGTTTTATAATCTAATTTCTAAGACAACTTTATTATCTTGGTTTATCACAACTAAAGCAATTTCAATGTGTCCGAAGACTTGGGGTATAAAAGACTCCACTCTCGACCACTAAGTCTTTGAATTTCTGTACCGTTTGCACTTGTGGTGGGTGAATTACAGAAGACTGAGCTGTCTGGATGACCCCCTGAACCTGTACTTGCTCTCCAGGAAGAGGTACAACTGTCACTGGCGCAGATCCTCTTAGTGACATCTAAGAACAAATAAAAATTCAATTAACAAAATACATATTGTACCTATGCATATAAGATAGCTGAGTTCTTAACACCAAAATAAACATTTCAGAACTGGTTATACTTAATCATGTCTATTCACCAAACATTAAGCATTTTTTAGGGACCAGAGACTAAACTAGGGATTGAGAACACAAATTAATTACAATGAACAGAATAAGAGCTATTATAGAGGAAAAGAAGGAAGTACTGTGTTGTGGGAACAGAGAAGAGGTGTTAGTTCAGCTGGTCCTATGGATAAACAATTCCCTGAGGTGGGAGGGCTGGAAGGTATTTCAGGCAGAGGAAGTGATTTTGCTGAAATATGGAAGCTCTTTAGAGTATGTTATTCAGAAGAGATTTGGTTGAAAACCAGTCAAGGAATCGAGAGTCAAAATGTGACAGAAATACCAACTTTGAACAACGTGTTAAAAGGAAAAATCAAATATTTCAAGTAAATAATTGAATCATTGCACTGTAGCAAATTACTTGGTATGGCTTTTCTAGCCATAAGTCTTTGCAAATTCCGAGGTGGAATTTGCTGTGAGCAACTGAGGAGCTCCTGATTGTTAAAGCTATCCACCTGGAGTATTTCTGTTGAGAGTGGCACAAAGCAATGTTCTGGGAAGTTCACTCTCTCTCAAGTGCTTAGAATTCTGATGTTATGGTGCTTAGTTTGGCCACTCTGCCAGGCTCAAAAGGAGCACTCCTAGAGACAGAAGGAGTCTCTCTGACTGCTGGCTGAGAAAGATATGCTGCTGAGAGAAACGTGCTCCTGAGAGACACACGGTGCTGAGAAGGCGACAGCAAGAGACTGCATTGCTGAGAGACACTAAGAGACATGCACCACTGGGAGACTGGCTGAGAAAGACTGTTGGCTGAGAGACAGTGGGCTGGGAGAGACTGAGCGTTATCCCTGAACTTGAATTGTAGCCTGGTGCTTCCTTAATAAACCCCATAATCTCTGAGTTCTGTGTGGCCACTGCAGCGAATTATCAAACTCAGCAGAAAGGTGGCGAGTGCTGCAGGAGGAACGGTTGGTATCAGGGTTGATGAAAGGGTTGGAGGGAGGTAGCATGTTTGGCCTCACAGGAATAGGCCTTAGGCTATTGAAGGTGATCCTGTCTTCCTCTTGTGGGGTTAGAGGAGATCAGAAGATGTGGCCTCACTGCCCCTTTGGCAATCATGCCATTAGTATTTCTGTGAAAATCAGATAGGGTTTCATGAAATATCACAAATTAAATGGTAAACCAAGGAAAGTCCACCTAGCATCCTTCAAGGCTTAGTTCAAGTTCTACCTCTTCTAAGTTTTCTCTGATATTTTCAGTTAACAAAGATCTTGCCTTCCTTTGTACTACTATGGTTCATACCATTCATCTTGGACTGAAATCACAAAATAAAATCCAGGGCTGCTTCTCAGGCCCTGAATGCCACCTGAATTCGCCCCTCTTTTCTTTCTTTGCATCAGGTCCCAAGAACATTGCCTTCCTTCCCTTTCCCAAGTGGATCCAATCTCATCATCCACCAAAATGCCCAGGGTCATAAAATTTTTCATACAATAAATAATAAATTAAAAACTCCCTCATCTTTCAGACTCCAATTGAATCTAACTGAAGGACAATGAAGATGGACAAATTTATGATGTAATCAATATACTTTTTAAAAGGACAGGGACCATTATTCCTCAGGGTTCTCTGGCAATCCATGTGATTTAGTGCAGACTATGGGCCTGGCAGGTAGAAGAGGGAAAGAAGCACCAGATTTTATCTTAGCTCATAGTGGTCCCTTCTCCCTTATCATCACTGTTCTTCTAACCTTACAGTACAGTCATTACTCAAGGTCTCAAAGTCTAGTGTCTTACCACCCTACTGTTAAGCCTGAGAGATCTCTCAAAACAGAAAAAGATGGTTTGGAACCTCAGGTTTTAACCACAGATGACTGCCTCCATCCATTACTTTTTAATACTAATAGAACTTTCTATGATAGAAATGTTCTATAACTGCACTATCCAAAATGGTAGCAGCAGGGAGCTCTGGTAGTGTAGTGCCTAAGGCACTTGACTGCTAACCAGAAGGCTGGCAGTTCAAACCCACCTGCCACTCCTCAGAAGGAAGATGGGGCAATTTACTTCCATAGTGATACTGCCTCAGTAAACCAAGGAGCGGTCACTATGAGTCAGGTCTGACTCAAGGGCACATAACAAAAGCCACATGTGAATATTCAGCAATTGAAATGTGGCTAATGTGACAGAGGGACTGACTATAATTTTATTTAAAATTGAAACAGTCACTGTGGCTAGTGGCTATGATATTGGACAGTGCAGTGCTAGATCTTTAGAACTGTAGAAGCTGCTAGTGCACTATGGTCCCAACCTCGAGACCCCTCTTGTTGTTGTTGTTGTTGTTATGTGCCGTCGAGTCAGCCCCGACTCATAGCGACCCCTCCTTGGGTTTC